CTACGAGAGATCAGGAAAAAAATAACACGAGAAGTGTAAAAATAACACGATATCTTTGTATGGTCATTTCCTTTTAGTCAAATTGAGTGTAGATATAGGAGATCATTTCATCGAGTTAAAACTATAGCCACATTACTCAAACCTCTCGAGATGCTAATTGCACATATTTTAGCTCTTACAATTCCAGTTTAAAAATCACAAATTATACTGTTTATCAAAAAAGAGAAGACTAAAGTACTCAAAGAGAGTGGGGCTAATATGTCGAACCAGTAGGGAGGCTTTTGGAAAAGATGGCTCCAGCAGCATCATTAAAAGGGTCTCTGAATTCAACAAAGGAGAACTTAGTATAGTTTAAAAATCACAAAATATACAGGAAAATGCAATACAGAGATGTCAAAAATGAAAGCAAACAGAATTCATGGAATATGGAAGAGTAAAACCAATACAAGAAATTAAATTCAGAGACGAATGGAACAACAAATTCAACAATCAACGTGAATGGATCAAGAGCAACTCCATATATATTCCCTGTATATATTGTATTATGCTTAAGGGATCAATATTATATGGTAATTATTCCTCTTTATTACAGAAGCATTAAGCAGGCTAGTAGCAGGAAGATCCATTGGGAGTTTGAAGTAGCAGATGAAGAGAGGTAGAGCAGTCACTCTCATGTGATGATACTTTACTTTGTGGAAATATGATTTGATTATTTGAGGTTAAGTCAAAACTCTGTATCATCGTTCAGAAGTATGAGTGAACTAGTAAAGAAAGTTTTGAAGATTTATACTTCTTCATGGAATATGGATTTGTGGATTACAGTGACAACAATTATTCAATATCAGTAGCATTCTTGGGGCACCACTAGGGAAATCTCAAAAGTTGAATGATTTATGGCAGCCAGAAGTTAACAAAGTTGTGAAAAGGTTGAGCGGATAAAAAGACAATTAATTAAAGAACAGAAGTACCTAATCAAGAACCCTTCAAAGGAAAATAGCATTGCTCAACTCTACATTGTAATATACATACCCATGTACTGCCTCAACTCCAATTTAGCTGGCATAGTTTAACTTGGACGCACTTCAACATAGGAAGAATTTCAAAATGTGTGGTCTTAAACATACCATAACATTTGTGTGGTTATGAGAAGTGTTGCCAAATGCGCACTTGAGCCCGGAAGCGAGGCTCAAAATTCTTAATCTTAAGAATAAATGTTTGAATAAAATATATAATTGAGAGGAAAAAATTATTGCACAGCAAAACAAAACCTCCAAAAGGGAGCATGTGTTGAGTGTTTCGCCTCATTTAATGTGTAATTCAATTTTATCATTAAGGTTCTAAGGGATACTTTTCCTTTTTAATGAACCTCTAAACAACTCATATTTTACTTTATCATAAAAAAAATCAATTTTTTTGTTCATATATTTGTCATTCATGCTGATAAACTAGTAGTCTAGGACTAAACATAAATATTTGTATTTCGTCTCCCTTTGCCTTTTCTCATTAAAATTTAAAGCCCATGTAGCATTTGTGCTTTGGGCTTAAAGCACCAACAAATGTTATACTCTCTCCCCTCTGTCCCAATTTATACGACTCATTTTCCTTTTTACTCAATCTAAAAGAACGACATATATCTATATTTAGTAATAATTTAACTTTGAAATGATCATTTTACCCTCAAGGATATGATTTACAACCACACAAACATCTATCAATTATTTTAGGCCACATATTTCAAGAGTCTTTCTTTCTTAAACTTCGTTCAAAGTCAAACGAACTCGTATAAAATGGGACGGAGGGAGTAACTTTTTGCACTTAAATACCCAACAGACCCCAGGACTTCTTTTGTAGATTTTTCTTTTGATAGCACTTGTTATAAGACTTCTAAAGCTTATGGTCTTAAACGTGTTGTTACGGTTGTGTGGCCGTAAACATTTCTCATTAGGTTCAAAATGATGATTAAAGTTAAATTGCTTCAAATTATAGAAATATGTCACTCTTTTTTATATATACCAGTGGTGTCCACACCAACTTGCATGTGCCTCGACGTATACCATGCAAAACTTCTTCCCATCGGCACAGGCACCAAGGAACTTCATCCACGGAGTTTTGGGGAAAAAAACACCTAGTGTTTTTTCCTCCATTAGGGAAAATATGTCTTTCTTTTTGGAATTAACAACTAAGGAAAGAATGTCCTTACCAAAAAAATCCCACCTTCATAAAACCAACATTTTAATTAAGTTTTGAGCTTAAAAACCCAATAAATCTTGGTGCCTGTTAGAATAGGAATAAGTTTATACAATCCTATTAGAATACAAATATGTTTATACAATCCTATGAGAATAGGAATATGAATAGAAATAGAAAAAGGAATACTAAATAATATCCTACTTCGTAAAGGATTTTATTCTAGGAATATGAATAGAGATGGTGGAAGCTAATACCATCATGCGTATGGTGGTCAGTCTGGAAAGAGAAACGGAAGATGTTTAGAAGATAGATCCAATTCCATCCACAAAGTTAAATGGAATTGTATAGTATCTCTACTTTTTTGGTGTAAACAGCTTTGTATAGATGATAGAGACCAGATTATAGATTTGATAGGAAATCTGTAATTATGTCTTTTTGGAGGTAGCCAGCATACACTTAATGGGGAAGAATTCAACATTACCAGTTTCAAAAAAAAATTATTCAATAATATTCTTTTCCTATATTTCTCGCAGTGCCCATCCACATTTCCGCTCTAACAACAATAGGATGGTATGAAGTCAACAAGTACTATTGAAAAAGAGAGAAATATGATATTTCCGTAAAGACGAAGGATATTAGATACTCTACTTTCGCAGCCATGCAACAAAGTAAATCAAATACCATAAAAGAGAAGTCAGATTAATTTGACCTATTTATGCAGCGATGCAACAAAGCAACAGAGTGAAAGAGAGGATCCACAAGAGCAAAGGAACAGAATTTTCGAAAAAAGGACGTAATGACTTATTCTCTAAGCTAATATAGCTGAAATATGTGCTTAGAAATGGCATAGGATGAAGTGGAGAAAGGGTTTAGCAAAGAACAATGATAATCCCACACCACTAATCAAGAAGATCAGCAACTTAGCCATCAACGCGAAACAAAAGAAGAAAATTAGATGATATAAGATGAAGAGAAGAAAAGGTCTCACAAAGAAATCCCACACCACTTATCAAGAAATTCAGCAACATAGCCACCAAATGAAAACAATAGAAGAAGAAACGTTACTGGGTGATTGTTCATAACTTTTCAAGAAAGAGTCATTGCAACAAAAGCAAAAAGTTCATATTGGACATGATGCATGCAAGCTATTCTAATCTCATATCCTTGCAAGAACAAGTATTTTATGTGTTTTCCCCATCACATACGCACGATAGCATAACAATCCAAAATGTAAAATTATTTCTCTTTTTTACAATGATCACTACACTCATCTTTATGATCATCAATTGGCACCACCAAAGCCATCAGAAATATAACTCCCAAACAATTCTAAAGCAATGAACTCACATATCCAGATATGACAGCACTTAATCAGAAAGTAACACTAGAAAATAGTGTTCATACAAAGGAGTATCTGCGTTAGAGAAATTGTATAACATGTTCCTAATTTCTCAGAGGTTAAATGCACCGTCACTTCACAGAGATTTTGTGCTTTGAACTGCCAAAAGAGGTCAATTTTCCTGTTATTTACCACACTAGCATCACATTGTTGGTTTTGAGAAGATAGGGTATAATTTGTCACTTTGGCAGGAATTCAATGATCCTTTTACCAAAAAATTCAAAGTTTGGACGAACATGAGGAGAAAAATAAATTATGCAGAGTGTAGTAAGTGTACCGCATATGAGATTGAAAAGTCAAACACTTTCCAGATTGTGCAAACTTCAATAGAAAAGTAAATTCAATCATAGACACTAACCAAAGAAGTATGGATTCTGAAGCCCAGTGATGGAAGCAATGATCCATGCCCTCAATTCGTCCTGTAATTCTTTGCGGGAACCATCCTCCAGAAACCTCAAGCATAACTTCAATAAAAATGCCTCCGCAATCACACAACCAGCCAATGCACTTAGCTCACACCCTTCAGCATTAACCCTTTCAATAATCTCATCAGTCAGAAGTGGAAAAAAAGCTCTCATGCATCCCTTATCCCCAGTATTTTCCAATGACTTATCCCACATCCAAACAGTCACTAACTCCCTCACTGGCCTAAGGAAGCCCTCTGAAACATCGCATCTATCCTCTACACCCTCACAGCATACATTAACATACCCAAGAATTGAATCAACCAATCCATTTACCTCTCTCACAAACTTCTTCTCTTTCTTAGCTTTCTGCTGAAAACCTTTTAAACCCATTACCAACCCAAACACATTATACATAACAGGTGCAATTAATGCAATGCTTTTAAAGAAATCACATGAAACAGAAGAAGAAACTATAAGCTGAAACAAACCCTTTACGGCTGCTAGTCTTTTGAAAAGGTCATTTTCTGTCGAACTGAAACCTCGATAACGTAAAGCTGAGTGAACCCAGATAGCTTCAAAAGGTGGGTCGACGCTACGTTGTAGTAATTCCTCGAAATTTGACCTAAAAGATGACAGCTTCTTAAAGCCTGGCGAGTCCAATACAGCTTGTATTAGATTTTTCAGTACAATTTCCTGGTTTTGTCCAACTACATCAATGGAAACCATAACTTTGGCAGAAAAATAAAAATTGACAGAACAAAAGCTAAAACCCTAATTTAGTAAGGAGAAAGGGTTGGTTTTAGCCTTTTAGGAGAATCGGAATTTCAGCATGCATCGGCAGTGTAGCTCCTTAATGTGGACCAGCGGTATGTTTCTGTCCTATTGGATGTATGAGTGAAACGGTGGATTAGCTACAGCCAATAGGAATCAAGTAGACACGTAGAGCAACGACGTCGTACTGCGAGGTTTCTCCTTAAATCTTAAACAGAGGTCTCTTGTTGTATGGGAATTTGAATAGAAGCAAAATTTGAGAAATCTCAATCTTTGTTGACTAATGGATAAATTTGATACGATTGCATTGTTGTTATCTTTGATAGTGATAACGATATGGTTTTCGATTGATGTTGAATGCGCAAAGAAAGCAGGAGGAGTGGCAAGAAAAGAAGACATTCCATATATAAGATGTCAGGTGTGTGAAAAGCTGGCGTATCAGCTATACCATCATGTTCACAACAAACAAGCTGAGATCTCTCCAAACAAGGTAACTTTCAGCTCAACCAAGTTCAATCGATCATAACTCACGATACCTATTGGATGTGTAGTGTAGGTTTTTTATTTTATCATACAGGTTGGAAAAATAAAGTAGCTCACAGCCTCACACTGAGATTTTTATGTGAGAAATACTACTAAATAAGTAAAAGAATCAGTGGGGCAAAGTAATCCACTATAACACTTGCAGTTTGTTTTTTACTTTACTTAATTTTTCTGTTTGTCTGATGCAATGGATATGGTTTGATGATGTCAGATCTCAGAGTATCAGATAATAGAGATTTCAGAGAATGTATGCAATTTAAAGAAGCAGGAAGCTGATTGGATTCTTAAAATTGACATAGTTGAACAAGGTGATAGGTTGGGGGTAAGAATTCTGCAAGTCTCTTTTCTTTGCTTATATAATGGCTTAGTCGATCCTTGTAACTTCTTTTTGGTGAATTGGGTTGGTTTGTTTACGGTGGCAGCCCAAGATTTTTAGTTAATGGTGCTTAACTGTGTGAAATTGTGATTCGGTGCTTGGCCACTATCTTTATATGTTATCAGTCGTTTCTTGATATAAAACTATACTGTTTTGATAAAACAATAATGGTGCTTGAGCACCCAGTAGCTACAATGAAGGTTCACCGTTGTTGGTGTACTGTACATTCAGTGTAGCTTCTACTAATTGAGCTGCTGGCAAAATAAGCACATCTATGTTTCATTCATTGTCGGCAATTGACAACTCTGTCCCTAAACACTCCATTTTTTATGCCATTACTTACACAGTGTAGCTTTTAATTTGAAAGAATTATTGAAGTTTAGATATTGGGCATCAAGTCCATAATTTTATATATTTCTGAAAGGATTCTTATTTGACATTGCCAACGTTCAGCTGGTTGAACAAGACTCTGAAGGACAATGTAATTCAGAATGCAAAACAATAGAGCGTGCTTGTCAAGATGTAAGTTCTCCTACTTATTCTGTGCATTAGATGTTAGCAATGATGCAAACAAATGCTGTTTATACTAATGATTAAATGAGTTGTAGTTGTAGGTTCATAATGTCATGATGCATGCTTACATTGAGCTTCGGAAGTGTTTTTTAACTTGTTTCCAAATAAAAAGCTCATCTCCTTCCCAATTTTCTCTGATTGTGCAATCATTATTTGATCATGTTTATAATGATATCCATACTTTTTGGCTTCCTATGTTAAAAGATTGACTGCACTTTGCCTGTTGCTCTTGATTTTTTTTTTCTTTTTGCTTCACTATAACTTCTCTTGTAAACAGGCTCTATATGTTGCTGTCTTTTGTAAGACAAACAAACTATTTCTTGCCGCAATTATCTTTCTTCATATTTTGCAGGTGATGGACTATTCTGATACAGATGTGGCAGAATATTTATATAAAAGCAAATCAGATCTTGATTCCTTAAAAAGTTTCCTTTGCAAGGATTTGACCAAAGTTTGTAGCAAGGCACCACCTCCAGTTCCTAAGGTAATGTCAAGCTTTATGACATTAACCAGTAAATTCATCCAACATCTGAATTTCTGTGCTGTTCTTCTCCTTCGTGCCTTGTGGCCCCAATGTTATCTGGTTTTGTAAACAATATAGCATAGTTCTTAGTTTTTAGCTTTATCGGTAAAAACAGTGCTTGTTGTTTAGACATGAAAGATAGACCATATCCAAAAATGTTTTCATCTTTTGTTGTAAGAGAGAGCTTAGCTTGCGTAAATACTGCTTCAAAATATTTGTTTGATTGATATACAGAAATATGTGATGACAAATTATATATGTAATATATTGCTTCCTTTTTGTGTGTGTGTGGTGGGGGGGGAGGGAACGAAATTGGTTGCCAGTTCTGAGAGACTACATCTCAAGAATAAATTGATCGAGTATTAACTAACTAAACAATAAAAATAAGCATGGTCATAAATAGAGTCGCCAATATGGAGCTTGTCCGGTTGGGCTACCCCAACCAATGATTTAATAGGGTTGGGCTGAGAATTTTGGAGCCCATCTAAAAATGAGGCTTGAGCGATGAGCCATCAGACTTGTTCTTCTGACAAGGATCACACTTCTGAACAATCTCCTTCACAGCAGTTGTAATGTGTTCCCAATAGAACAGTATGATTAACCTTTCCAAAGTAGCTTGCGCCCCAGAATGGCCACCTTGAGGGGAAGAGTGCTATAGAGCCATGATCTCCTTCCTTAACTGTTGAAACCTTGCCTGCAAACAGTCTTCCCTATCATAGACTGATAAGGGCATAAGGCTTCATTTCTAGATGAATCATGAATGAAACTTACTAATAAAGGCAATGGGGTGTCCTTCCTGCATTAGTACAGCTTTCTAAGGGAAGAATTGGCAATTTCTGGCTGAAATCACAGGGACAAATCCTTGTAGTGCAACCTAAAAGAGATGAATTGCCAAATATAAGGTGGCAGTTTGATGAAAGGTCTCAAAGGGAGAAGAGTGCAAGCAGTTTCACATATCACAATTGTCAGTTTTTTCGGTGGTTAAACTTTAAAGATTGAGTAGTTCTTTGATATGGACAGCAATCCCCTCATAATGGCCAGTGCTAAAAATTGAAAGCATTAAATAACTAGTACTATTAAGACAATTTGATTCTAGTTTTGAGACTTGGTTAGCAACACTATGTATTATTGTGTCGTAAATATTTATGTTCCCATTTTTAGGTTCAAATTATGAAAAATATATTGTTTGCTAAGGTGGGCCGGCCTAGCGTAGGCTTTTGGCCACGTGAGGCTGGACTAGGCCAGCTCATAGTGACATATGACATAGTCTGGGCGATATGGCAAGGTGCTAATTTAATGGATGAAACCCTTTGGAATTGCTGGGCTAGAGGCATACATTAATTTTTATGAGAAGTTATGTTACAGATCCTATCACTTGGAAACAAGAAGCCATCTAAAATCTGCTTTTGTGCCTTGCAACACTTAATGACGTTTTCTCCCCATGAAGAATGCATCTCACTGATTCATAATAATTTGAATGGAGGCTGTTTATTCTTCTAAGCATAGTATAGCATGTTCTGTGATAAGTCATTGACTATGTAGGTGCTACATGTTGTTTTAGCAGTTAAATAAGCAATGAGATTAGCTTTCCCATTGATAGTTTGGTGATTCTTTCTTCTTTTGCTTCAGAATAGAGTCCCAGGAGAACCTTTTGTTGCTAAGTCCTCAAAAGAGGCTGAAATGGAAAAGCTAATGCGATCCATGCAGGTGATTCTGCTTATGACGAGTGTCACTTACATGATTTCTTTCTATATTATGCCTGTTATTGAAGATTTGAAATTTACAACATTTTGCTTCAGGGTATGCCTGGAGCCCCAGGTATGCAAATGTATTCTAGGGAAGATTTAATGAAAAAGTTTGGTGATGAAGATGCTGATGATGACGATGATGATGACGAAGGAAGCTTCCCATCAAAGCTGGTACAAAGGAGTAGTCTCTTTTCCCGTTAAATCAATCAAAAGTGCTCAACTAATATAGAAATTATCTGCAGGGAAAGGTTATTAAAGAAAAAGAAAGTAAGAAGAATGATTGGAAGCAACGAATCACCAAAGGAATTCAAGATAGAAGTGAGACTCTGAAGAATCACGCTAACAGAATATCCCACAGGATGAGAAAGTGGTGGGGAACGAAGAAAGCACAATGGAAGAAGAGTTCCAAAACCGGTAAGGGAGAGTTATAATGACGTGCGTTTTCCTTCTTTTCTTTTCCTCCCATTAAAATGTAGTCTATGGAGAGACTGGAAACATGTATTCTCATCTTATGGCTCTCTCTACCCACGAGATTTTTGTTTCTCTAATACCATCTTCGGGTCTTGATACTTTCGATGAGTCTTCTGATCTTGTTAGAGATTTATATACTAGTAAAAAATGTAGACAACTTCTACTACGTTGTTTTTATGATAAAATCTACATTATATAATACCACAAACAATAACTTAGTACGCATTTTTAATTTATTTAGAATTTATGCAGTTGGAGTTATGATTGGTTTTACTTTTTGCAAGAAGTATCTGAAATAATCTTTGTGCTTGAATGTACAATACAATTTCAAGTAGGTTTTACACAAATCTCATAGTTAATTATAGGGGTGTACATGATCGGATTGGTTCGGATTTTTTAAATATCAAACCATATCATTTGTGTTGGGTTTTTGAATTTATAAACCCAACCAATAAAACTCGGGTTTTTCAACTTCGGGTTTTTTTGAATTTTCTGGTTTTTTTCATAATGTATTCATAAAAACATATAATTTATTTGTATTTCAAATATTTATTTAGTCCTACCAAAATACAGCTATCTAAGTTACTTATCAAGAAAATAACAAAAAATATGATATAATTAATGACACTGAAATATCCAAAAAATAATAAAGATAAAATTGCGTAAAACAAATTTTGCAAATTAATAAGTCATAAAGAAATTGATTATAATTTAAAGTACTAACTCATGCTAAAAGTTTAATACGTATTAGTTACATGACTAAACATTAAAAGAAAGTAAAATTAGATCATATATTTTAATTGTCTAAATCTATGTAAAACTAAAAAAACAAATATTCAATATTATTGTCATTTTTAGTGTTGAATTGATTTTCTTTTTGCATTAGTATTAATTTGATTTTATTTAAACTTTATTATAATTACCAACATGTATAGACTATAATCTAATCAGATCATTAAGAATTCTAACTTTCAAACATGAAATAATTATATTAAAAGATAAAAACTATGAAAAAGTATAATAGAGTTAAAAAAAAATATATCAAAGTAAGTATTTTTAGGTATAAAATAAAATTTTTAAAAATATATATATATAATGTAGGGTTGGTTTGCTCTCAAGTTGGTTTTTTTAGTTTAAATCAAACCAACCCAAATATAGTCGATTTTTTTTTTCAACACCAAACCACTAGTCTAATTTTTTTTTTATTTGACTCGGTTTGCAGTTTGATTTGATTTTCGATTCGACTTTGTACACCCCTAGTTAATTGCATTTCAATTTGGCTAAAGTCATATGCGGCCTTTTAAAGTTGTCCGCATAATTCACTTAGACACCTCAATTAGGACTGATACCTATTGAACACTTCTATTGTTCAGAATAAGTACCTATTTGACACTTTTCGCTGACATGACAAGGAAAGTGTTATACACATCCATTCAGCGCGTCAGAATGTATTTTTTTTAAAATCTCTTTCTTCTTCCTTTTTTCTTCTTCTTTCTTCCTTCTTCCTTAGCCATTTCTTCCAAAACCAATACCATCTCCACTGACGATGTTGCCACCAACACCTTTCAACCTTTTCTTTTCTCATCCCTCCTCTTTCTCCCACTCCCTCACCTCTATCATATTCAACTATGGAAACACCATTACGATTTTCTTTAAATTTGTTCAATACTGTGATCTTATTTACCGGAAAAAATATAGACTCATACAATGACTATTCTATTTCTTCTTCCATTTTTTCTTATCGAAAATATATCTAATAAATTGGATTTAAAATAAAAAAAAATGAATCTGCTTAGATGATTATGTAGTCAGTGATTTTATTGATATCTAAAATTATAAATGGGTCATATTTTGTAAGTTCATGTATTGACTAATTTTTATGTATATGCAATTTGCTATTTTCAACTTAAAAAAAAAAAGAAGAAACAAATCTGAAAACATAATAGTGGGTTAAGAGGATTTTAAGGTGTTGACAACTATGGTGGAGGAGGGAGCTATGGTGAAGAATAGAATTTCAAAGTGATGACAACACTTCAATTTTTTCTTTTTTCTTTTATTTTTTTCAATCAAAATGCCACATGTATGTAATTGATTTGTCCATTACATTTTATAGTTTTAGCTGATTGTCACAAAAGTATTCAAAAGGCTCATATCTGAATTAGTAGAGATGTCGAATAGTTACAAGTTCTAGTTGAGGTGTCTAAGTGAATTATGCGGACAACTTTAAGGGGTCGCATATCACTTTAGTCTTTCAATTTCAAACACATCATTCAACATCGTGTCTCAATTTCATATATATCATGCGATGTTGCTATACATAATGTACATCCTGATACATTATGTAAAGTGATGTATCCCAATAATAATTGTGTAAACTGACATATTCGACCTATTCATAAAGTAGATGTATCCAACGTATACATTGCATAAAGTAACATACAACGATACATCATATATGCCCAGATATATCATATATCACATGAATTGATATTATCCTAATGATACATTGTATCAAGTGATGTATAAAGGACTTCTCTAATTTTTTTAATTGATATGCAATTTGAGAATAGTGAACTAAATTGTGTATTTAGGTAATTACCCTGAACCAAGAACTTAACCGTCTTTTCTAAAAAATCGCTATGAACCGAAAGCAAAGAACCAAAATCAAACCCAATTAATTCAGCCCAGTTAAGCAACCTTTTTCCATAAAATTGCCTTTTAAGGCCTCAGATACAACATGTAGCCAAAATAAACTTGGTTGTGTAACTGAGAGCAAATAGAAAGGAAAATAACCCACAGCTGGGTAGGACAAAAAATCAGCAGAAATAATAGGCATAAATATGCATTTGCCCTTTCAAAAGAGTGAGCTGGGTTGAAAATGATCAGCTCAGAGTATAAGATATGCAACACCATTCTGCTTTACGTCAAAGTGGGACAAGCAGAAAAGTGTATGCTTTCCAACACGAGCATCATCGCATCCGATAACACTGAGTTCTTGAAACAGAACAACGCTGACCATTTACTGAATACTTTAGCATTATATCAAGATCTCGAGGATTCTTCTTGTTAGACGCCACAGTCATACTCCCAACTACAGCTTCCCCCTGGCATACAGTAAGCACATCTTCCAGGTAGAGAACCGTTTGCTTCCAGTGTGTACCACGAGACCTTGGTCCTGCATATTTACTCTCATGGTCAGAAAGAACTTATACCATATTTCCCTCTTTTCCTCAACTTTTTATTTTATTCAGACTGGGGGAGTAGACTGAACTTTATGTGAGTTAAATAAGTTTTCTATCTCCGGTTTCAAGAGATATACATGTGACATGTCCATGATATTCATAGAAAACTAGATAAATGCATCTTCAGATGAAATAATTAGAACGTACTCCCTAAGTCCATATTAAGTGAATTGTTGGGGCATGACACACCCCTTGAGAATAAGATCTAAGGACATAACTACTAAAGACTACTTTCCACTATTATCCTTTTGATTATTCCCAAATTATTTTCTTAGAAAATGTTAAAGTAGTTAGAACCTCATGAAAGGTAAACATGGGGAAAAAAGTCTCAACAACTCTCTTGAAATTTGGACAATTCAATTATTTTGGACTATGAACAAAGTTGCAAAAACCCACTTCTATGAACCTGAGGAAGTCATGGAGCTGCACAGGTGGTCCATTGGTGTCACCTTAATCCCCACCCTCCTGCCCTTGGCCAACAAACAAACCTCCCTCCTCCCAAACCCAACACAAACAACATGAAACAAAAACAAAAGATAATTGCACAAAAGTTCAACAAAAGCAAACACAAATAATAAACCTGTGGAGAAGCCAGTCAATTTGTGACACTTCGTGAAAGAGACATCAAAGTAAGCTACAAGGGCATGGATGTAATCGTCACGTTCTGCGACTAGCTTAAACGGAACTGTGAAGGAAGCATCACCAGAAGCCATCTTAGAGATATCCATTGTCTGTAAAATGAAGACCCCGTTGTAAGTGAAGTAATAAAGACAATTCCACAGCTCAATTTTGGGCTACTCAATATAGCAACTTTGATGACACATTATTTTGAAATGGAGTTTGAACACAACCATATTTTATCCAATTACCTTGAGTAACTGGCAATTTGTAACAATCTGCTTCTGATCTACATTATCAACAAGTGGTTCCATTATAGTTTGCTTCTGTAAGCAGCTCATATCAAAACCATACACACTATTCCAAACTGCAATAAAAGTTTGGAGTCAGGGTGACAATTTAGCCCAATAATGAAGAGGACTGGTGCAACTGAAAAAGTTCATGGGAAGTGCATATTAAATGCAGAAGCGAATATCCATCAAGTAGACGATGTGAAAACGATCAATCTCACATTCGATTTTCTCATCTTTGTAGTCAGCATCTTCAATTGCTGTTAAATACAAAGAAGCTTTATCTGGCAGCACAAGACCATCTTTTACCTGTACAGGCGGGAGAAAGGGTATATAATCAAAAAAGAGGCCTTTTTTAGTTGAGCTCGCCACCCAAAGAGTCACTCTGAGAAAATTGAAGCAAATAGAAGAACGCCAGAAAGTTGGTTTGGAAATTAAATCAGCCAACCTGGGGGAGCTCTACTTAAAGCAGTAATGAGAAAAAATTCATTTGAAGAGGACAAAGCACATTATCCAGTCACTAATTTCCATTGATCCCAGGTCTTTAACACAATACAAACCAGCCAAAGACAAGGGGGTACTAAATTCTCATGGTCTAAAGAAAAAGCAAATTTTCCAATTTGACTTACAGGGGACCCCATCTATATAATCTCAAGAAGCCAAAAAAAAAGTTTTTCAATTATTACGTGGGTAAAACAATTAGTCCACTTACACTATAACTTTCTTTCAATTCTCGGGCATCAATGGAGGAAATAAATTGTATACAAGCACTCTAATAATCTTTTCTGCATACAAACACCTTGAACTCAGCACAACCAAGAAGAAAAACACTTTTCTCTTGAATAAAAAGTGCACCTTAAAGATAATTCCTTTTTTGGTGGCTGCGGGGGACTGGGGGTTCAACTTGGTACAGGGTGGAAAGGAGAAGGATCAGCATGAAGATGTTGATCAACGCAGGAAGTGTGATGATAGCTGAAATATGTTTGACTGGTGGGAATGCCATGTTGGCCAAAGTCTAGATTAGCACTCAATGGTAGAATGCAACCCAC